TAAAATTTGGCGTGATCGTCATCTGCTTTACGGCAAGCAGTTGGCGACCACGTCACATATTCCCCATCTTCAATGCACCAACGTATTGTCTACTCGCGCCCCATGCGTATTTGACGACGCTACTGATTCGATTTGGACTTCTACAGGTCCAAAAAATTGGAATCGTTAATATTGACAATCCGCAACCCTTGGCTTATAGGCTTGCCTCTATAAAAATGTACTCTTTTCAGAGCTGGGTCCTATTAGCCTTGTCGAGGTACGGTAGGCCTAGTTCAATCCAAAAGGTCACCCTGTCCCTATTGGGACTTAATATTAGTGCGCGACGGGATCGTAAGACGATCTTGCGCGAAAGCCTGACCTTGTCCCTCTCATTCGAGATAGAACGCAGCGCATAGGGCGCAGATTTTTCTTCTACCATTGATATAGCGCCTGAGCGTACTTTGGTGCTGATAAGTAGCTACAATAATCATTTTTCCTCCTCGACGGGCACAAGTTCATCGGTTCCTAGAGCATCTTTTCGCACTTTACCCGGTCCTCGCGGCTCACCATTTCCTTGATATAAATTGGGTTGACACGGAAGATTCGGCGCAAACCGTACCTGTCCTGATCTTTTATGGTAATGGTCGCAATTACTTCTTATGGCTGAGGGTATCTTAGCGACTCAAGGTCATATATAACTCTTGTGAAAAATCCGCCAGCTTCGCTCCTTGACAGGTGGATAACTAAAACGATTGCACATAGTGCGCCTGGGGTGGAGACCACTAGCGCAATGTACTTTTGCTACGTCTGGACGATGGTCTAATTCATTGCTATCTCAAAGTTATCTCACCCAGAGAGACTTTTGATCGTCAGCGCCCCCAAAGGACTGGACGCTTTGTAGAGCGGTCTCACGGTGGAAGCCAATTTGTTCCTACACCGACGCCTTATTTAAACCGTTTCAGGAAGTGTCTTTCGATTGATTTCCATTTGTTAATGTCTTTAAGCGAGCGATATTGCTTCGGGCTCTTCTTAAAACAAGCAACTTGGATAAGTAGTAGTCGTATATCAATATTCGACTGATGTCATTATTCGGTATTTATTGACCGATCGGTTTCAATATTTTGATATCACAAAGTCGAACATGGCAGGGTACAGCTTCAGTAGTATCTTGCATGGGAAACGGCGGTGTGTATTACAGCTAAGCATGATTTGTAATATGTTCGCGTCTGTCGATAATTGCATGCTAAATAGTGCAGACACAGGTGTGTGCACGAAGCCAACAGACTTCGATCTACTTCTGCCATTTTGCAAGGCTGTGATACCGTATCCAGCGTGTCTTCCTCGATATCAAAGTATCTGGTACAATCACTCAGCACTCTCTAAAGATCGCTTCGTAGAGCAACTATTTCATAAGATCGTCAATCAGCGCAAGATTGACGAGACAAATGTTACGATGGCGGACTACAACACCGACGAATGGGGCGGACCCCGCACTATAACGCCACGCTTCACCGGAAACTCGGATTGCGAAAACTCCCTTCGTAACTATTTTTGCTGGCTTAACTTTCCTCGATGTGACACGGAAGGCCGGAGTTTGCTTCTTTGTCGAAGTGTATGTGAAAATTTTATGACATCCTGTCAATACTCAAAGGATCTATGGCGATGTGGCGATCCTGAGTATATCAACGGTCGTTCGGCCGAAATTAGTACAGAGTGGGTTGTAAGTTCTTTTCAAACATTCACTAAAACGATAAAAGTCACAGGTGTATTCGTGTGTTACTTCGGTAGGATCAAAAGCAAGTATACTATCGAGCGCCATATCCAGGCTCACCATTCAAAGACAACGCCTTCGATCCAAATACCGACAAGCCTCTTATTGTGTGCACGCCGAGTCTCGAAAACTCTGCACAAAGTGATTGTCTTTTCGTTTCGCGAGTCGCTATATTAATTACTTCTGTTGCTATTCAACTTTTTTACGGTAAGCAAGTATGATTAATCGGTAAATGCCAAATTTCTAGTGCTGATTAGGTGAACATACAAAGTGAATCACTGTATTTCGCAAGAATCACCAAAATCTTCTTCCCCAGCTTTTACACCACTGCTTACATCAATTTTTTCAAATCCAGACTTTTCGGCAGCTATATTTACAGTGGTCTCATGAGTAACCTGATTTTTCGTACCATTCTCCGCGGCCTTGATTGAATCTAAGTCTCTGGGCACCGAGTTTGGGACCACCGTTCGTTTCTTTGATCCACTTCCACTTTCTGCCATGTGGCAACTACAACGAAAGCTGTTGGCTACACCGGCAAAGTAGCAGTGGTTGCAAAGGTTGCAGTGCTGGTTACGATGGTCGCCACATCGGCGACACTTGGCACAATGGCGGCGCGGCTTCTTTGCGTCGGGACACAGCCGATTGTTGCACCACGAATATGTGAATTTGGCGCCGCAGTGAGGACAGGAAAAACCTCTCTCGATAGTGTGTTTAACTTGCACAGCACCACCGCCTCCTTCGCAACACTCATAAATTACAGTCGAGTTAAGTAATTCTTGCATATCCTTGATTTTGGATAGATGCTGCATCAAGCAGATGTCCTGCACCACCAGCTGAACATTGATGCCCTCGAAGGCCATAGGTTTGAATGGATTTGCACAGCTCACGCACTTGCATTGAGTACCACACACCACTCCCAATTTCACACATGCGCAGCGCGCATTGCGACATTTTCCCGTGCACTTGCAGCGCACAACATCGCCATTCCTGTCAAGGGGTAAAGGTGCTGGCAAAGGAGTGATGCAATTCTGTTGCTGCTCCTTCAGCACGTCTACTCTAGCTCGCAGTGTAGCCTGATGCAAAGACTTTTTAACCGGACGTCGGCCAGACGGCTCCTCAACTTTTGTCGCGTACTGCATCGACCCAGAATCAATTTTAATGCTGCTCGTAGGATCTGGTGAGATTGCGCAAGCAGCCACTGCAACCGATCCGCCGTACTGAACGTACTCGGGTGATACAAGTGCCTTCCGCTTGTTTTTATCATCTGCCGTTTTTCTAGCGGCCACATACATTTGCTGCTGTGAGCTCAGCTCTGCGGTAGAAGTTCCAAATGCAGAAATCCCACTTGAAGGTGGAAGCTTGGAGCCGACGTTAGTGCCAAAAGTGCCACTGATTGCTAGATCAGCAGCATGTGGTCCGTGCTGAGGTATCACTCGCCACTTTACCGGCCCACTGGGTTTATTCTCAGCGCATGACTCATTGTAAGCTTTCCAATCAATTATTTCGCAGGACGGCGTCCTACAAAGTGGCACAATCGCAAACATTTAATCGCCCTAACTGCATTTCAAATCATTTATTGCATACCGCACCGAGTAAGCCCATCGCTTTTCGTCATTGTGGTGTCATCAGTTTGACTTGATTCAATAACACTGAGAAGCTCTGTCACCTCCTCTATACCTGAAGCCGAATTACTTCCAGCACTATATAACGTCGCAGGAGAAATAAGGCTTGTTAAACTTTCGCTGCTCGTCGAAGGCACGAGTGCTTGCAGCCAATTTATTGTCGAAGGTGACATTGACGAGCCGTTGAGCAAGCCAGCTGGTGAAATGTTCTCAGCCACACTTTGATTGTAGCTTGGAATAGCAGATTGAGGTGGTTGTGCCATTTGCGAAACACCATCACTGAATGCTGTCGATCGCGATAGTCCACAACTTATATTGCCACCGCAAAGCGCTTCTTGATGTTCGTGTTGTTGTTTCTGGTGCTGCATCTCCTGATTTGGAGTGTCGTTGGCTTCAAGGGAGCCCAGTAGCTCGATCACTTCACCTATTTCATTACAGCTTGATCGTTCTTCGTTTTCTGGCAATTTCGCCATATCGCGCAGCTGATCTGGTGGTGTATGATGCTGCTGATATTCCCGTCGATGGCGTTGAGATTCATTTCGCTTCTTTTGTGCCGCAAGATCGCTGCCAGAAGGTGATGTGATAAGCGATGTATCAAGAAAATGCAGAACGTGCTGCATCTCTTCTAGCTCGCTCAGTGACTCCATCAACGCCAAATTTGAGAAGTACGATAAATACCGGTACAGATCAGAATTGAAGAATATCTGGGATTTGAAAATCAACTTGGACTTTTTTATATCGTGTTGGCTAAAACATTTGTGTTTCACTATTACATTTTAATTTGTTTCAGCTATTTTCAGTGCAACATATATATTCCATGTTGGCTGTAGCAGCCCTTCCATATTTGTTACAGTTGTATTAAATACAAATACGGTACAATTCACATTACACTTCGGTGTTATTGTAAATATTGATATGCACCAAGACTATCGGAATTTTTGAGGATGATAAATACTTGTTTGGTTTTTGAACTGCTTGCATTGAGTTGTGACTGGCCTTTGGTATATCGGGACTGGAAAAATCTATTATCTGATAGAGCCCAGACATGGAATGCTGACGTTTCGTTTACTTCACTTCGAAGAAATGAGGCTGACATGAGGAAAGTCATAAAAGCTTTAATCGGATACATCTTGCAATATGGCCTAAGTTTTCACTTTTGAACGTGGACCTGTTTTGAAACAATATTCACTGGTAAGCCATGTTAGTAATTTTTTCCGCTGACAGCAGTAATATGAGCAGATGGTGTGAAACATCGAAATGCTTATATTATCCGAAGCATCACTTTCAGAAAATGCATAGTGCTTATCGGGTAATAAGTAGTTTTTCCTCCGAGGCGACTAGCCAGGGAGTTATCGTGGTATCTCGTACAGAGTTCTGACTTTGGAGTCCTCATCATGAGTACCACCATGCGTAATGTGCCAAGTGGATCGCCACTGTAGTACAGCCAGCCTTGTGTAAGGCATGGCGAAATCGGATTGCAACAATGCATTTCGACAATTTCAAGTCTGTGTTTTCAAACTACTATCTACCTATAATTTCCGCACTAGGTAAGGTCTACAAGATGTCTGATGTGACATGGCACATGATCGTCTGCCTTATCTACATGTCGCCACGTCAATTAGCGACACCACCATTGCGGCATGCAACGAAACATAGTCGAGGTGACGTAAAAACTACGTAATTCCGACCAGGTCGTTACCAAACCTAGAAAGTAATATCTGTCAGCTTGACGACTATCTTGCCAATCTCAGCAATAGATGTGGTGATGACGTCGCTGTATACGACGATGAATGATTTATGTAGATCACGAACACATTTCGCCACAAAAATGCATCATGAACATGAGGGTATACTTTGTCTCACGAAGTCCTTTGTCATGAACAGGGCCGTTTCTCTTGGCGGTTTTTGTAACGGGGTTACACGTACTCTTGCATGAATGGGTGGGTCGCACAAGATGGTGTGATCGTACATAGGTGTGGATTACACAAGTTGGTGTAACCACACAGTGGTGTGGCTACACCGTAATAAAAAGCTACCACCTGGCAGGACTGCCAGTAGTAATGCAAATTACTATCCTAATTAAACCATATTGTTCTGGAGTACATTCATTTTAGAAATAGGCGTCTGTGCCGGAGTGGTGACAGCGTTTCGCTGATTGTAAGCGGGAACAAAACGCCAATTGACGTTCGGCTTCCGGACACAAAACGTGGGTATCGAATGAAGAGACTTACTCTCACGCACCATTCCTGCATCGAGCTCCGCACGGAAAATGGCGTCAATGACGTCACACTGCTTCTTGGGCAGGGGCCTTTGGCGTGTTGCGCAGTATTTGGTCCCGGATCCAGGTCAATCTCATGCCACACATCTCGGTCCGGAAATAGGACCGACTGCAGGTCTTTGGTGACCACGTCTTGAAATTTCTTTTCCAAAGGATAGTACGGATTCGAGGGGTCCTTCAGGATCGATAATCCACTTCGTGCATTCAGCACCCTCTTAGTGTCCTCAAGGACAATTTCATCCAGAAGCGACGGCAATTTAATCTCCTAGTTCGGTCAAAAAATGACCACTGCGGCTAAATTGCCTGCCTTCGAGGCACAGCTAAACTCTCTGAAAGACATTTCGTTCAGTTCAAGAAGAGCATATACCGCGGGAATAGCCTCGACGGTGACGTCGCCGTGTTCCTCTCCCGTCATACCGTTGAATGATATAGAGCTGTGCGCTATCGTCTTCGGTAGACACAACCTGGGTCAGGGTCGACAGCCTGCGTCTTGCAAAAATCATACTGCTTCGCCGTCTACTCTCTTTAGAGGCTTTACGTCTCACCGAGACCGGCGGGAACACGCACTTGGCGTCGTCCAGTGTCTTCACTCCCTGCTCCATCGGAGCCTTGATGTTATTAACAAATCCGACGAAGAGCTGCTATTTCTGCAGTCCTCGTCCAAAGGATAACGTGCCACTCCACGCGCATCAGAGGGGCCTTGCCCAGGATCCCTCGAACCTCGTCCGACCATGCCACTCTTGGCATGCAGCGACTGATTCTAGTACTTGAGTAGCGCTCAGTGGGTTACGTGCCCCTCCACGTTCAGCTTGTGAGCCACGCTTGGGACTCTTGTCCAAAACATTTTTGGTGTTCGGCAACTCGGAAACTCCCATATCCATCACATTGAATGTCCCGGTCCAGTGCGCACGAATAGCGCTTCTGCTTCCTAGCAGAGGTGAGTTCGTGACTCACCAAAGCTCCACCAAGAGACGTACGTGTAGCGCCCAAGGTCTTCGACCTCGAATCGATCTATGGCTAATGGCGCTCCAACCATGCCATACCAAGCATAAGACTGTAATTTGTATTGAAGTCTAAGACTAAGCAGCTTTCACGTTATCGAATTCAAGAAACTCGACACCGAGGTCCACAGGGAGTGACACATGTCCCGTCGCTAAGCGATCAGTGACGGTGTCACTCAATCGCGCTTTCAGCGCCTCAGCATACAGCTAATTTTCTTTGATCGTGGAGCGTCGAGCATAATTTTTCGACGCCCCGGAATCGATCAGGATCTTCCATGGCTTTTCAAAGCCCTTCACGGTCGCTTTTACGACCAGCAATCTCGTCTTGCATACACGTTTCATGTTAAAGAGAACGGAGCTTTCGGTGCTGTGCCCTGCTGCCCTCTACCTCTTTGAGGCTCAACAGAACTCAATTTTCCCTAGTAGGGCGTCCAACGTCTTCTGGGTGTTGTCGTATCCCCGCGACAAACAGAAGACTGGTAAGAAGCGGGACGTCGGTTCGATGAACCTTAACGCGCCTTGCGCAATTAGTCCAAAGGTGACGGGTGTCTCCACAGACAAAACACCGTCGGGTGTTCGAACGCTGCACGGTGGCTCGAAGCCTCGCCTCCTCTTTCTTAGCATAGCTGAGCCCCTTCGACTCAGGCTTTCTCGACGAGCTGCTAGAGTATGCACTCCAACCAAGTCATGCCGACATAAAGTTAAATCTGGCATTCAATGCCACATGCCACATTCACTGCTTCTCCAAAATAAGCCGGACAAACACAAAAAAGGTCCTCCAAAAGACGGTCACTGTGACCGCCCCGGAGAGGATCGGCTGCCATTCCGGCAATGAGATGTCTCAACTCGTGGACAAATCCACCAACTCCTTCTGGCCCTGCCGGGCAGTAAGGAAACGCGATCGTACGCGATATGCCTTATTAGGCGGCGAGAACACTAGCAAAAGCTGGTGCTTCAGCTCCTTACAGGAGGTAATGCAGGTTTAACCGAAGTGCCCCACGTTAGAGATCATTCACGCGCTCGGCCCCCGAGCTTGGAGATAGCTAGGGCCACGCGCTGTTGTTCGTTTTGGAGCATGGCGGATAATATAGTCTCTCATCCAGAACAGAATATTCTCTCCATCCTTACCCTCGAAGGTCTTTATGCTCACCACGAACGGCCTGTGTCGGGAAGAGTCATCCGTCGTCGATAGTTGCGTCATGGACGCTGATAGCTTCTGCTAGAGGCGCTTTGACAGAGCATTTTTAAAATTTGAAAATACCTCTTGGAGCGCGCTTGTCGCTATGGGCCATTGCGCAACAAGGTGCTCCACGCCCTTAGAGCCCAGCTAGGACATTAGCTTATTAACCCCGTCCGATCATGCCCGGGGACAAATAGGACTCTTCTTCCATCCTCACAGAGAATCAGTCGGAAAGCCTCAAGCGTAGATTGACTACTAGTGCTACCAAGTGCAGAGGGGCTGCCGTAGCTCTTTGCTTAGAAGAAGCTAAGCTAAAGTCACCGACCTTACGTTCTTCCAAAGACGCGGTGCAAGTGTAGCGGATCGCAAGGCGTTACTTCTAAGTACTAAAGCCTTACCAAGGCAAACGAACACTTCCGTTCAAAAACAAAATGTATTGAATTGTTTTAAAATGCGGCAGAGCCGCCAATATCTAAAACGCTAGGTTTTCCTGATTAATTTAGTAATACCTCATTTATAAAGCAAAACCTAATGAAAATAGTAACCTGCATTACTACTGGCAATCCTGCCACGTGGTGGCTTCTTGTTATGGTGTAGCCACACCACTGTGTTATTACAATAAATCTGTAAATCACACTTATGCACAGTCGCGCAAGATTGTGTGACCCGCTCTTTCTCACAAGGACACGTATAACCCCGTTACACAGTACGAGGATACCGGATTGCGATCCGCTGCCTCCAAGAGGTCTGAAAACCTTAACCAAGGTAAGTAATAATTTCCGTTCAAAATTGAAACTGTGTTTTTTTGGTTTAGTTGCGGCAGAGTCGCCAATATCTAAAACCCTAGGTTTTCCTAAAAAATATAGTCTGTGGAGAGGAACTG